GATCTCGATTGTGTCAGATCGAGATGTACGTTTCACTTCCAGGTTCTGGAAGAAGTTCCACGAGGAGTTGGGTACGAGGTTGCATTTCAGTACCGCCTACCACCCACAGACGGACGGGCAGAGTGAGCGGACGATTCAGACGCTCGAGGACATGCTTCGAGCATGTGTGTTGGACTTCGGAGGAAGTTGGGACACGTATCTGCCATTGGCTGAGTTTTCCTACAACAACAGCCACCATTCTAGTATTGGTATGCCTCCTTTCGAGTTGTTGTATGGGAGGAGGTGTCGGACTCCCATTTGCTGGGGAGAGGTAGGGCAGCGTGTGATGGGTAGCACTGAGATAGTGCTTCAGACGACAGAGCAGATACAACAGGTTAGACAGAGGTTACTGACGGCTCAGAGTCGTCAGAAGAGTTATGCGGATCGGCGACGATCCGAGCTGGAGTTCCAGGTGGGGAACTTTGTACTCCTGAAAGTATCTCCTTGGAAAGGAGTGATCCGATTCAGGAAGAGGGGCAAGCTGGGGCCCCGGTACATCGGTCCATTCAGGGTGACCGCGAGGGTGGGCAAGGTAGCATATCGGTTGGAGCTACCTGCGGAGTTGAGCCAGATTCATGATACCTTCCACGTGTCCCAGTTGAGGAAGTGTATAGCCGACGAGTCGGCGATGGTACCACTGGAGGATATTCAGGTGGATGCGAGCCTGAATTATGCGGAGAGGCCAATCGCAATCCGGGATCGGAAGATCAAGGTTCTGAGGAACAAGGAGGTGTCACTGGTGCAGGTCCAGTGGCAACATCGGAAGGGGTCCGAGCTGACCTGGGAGCCGGAGTTGGAGATGCGGGAGCAACATCCGAAGTTGTTTGTCGAGCAGGACTTCGAGGGCGAAGTCTGATTCTAGTGGGGGAGAATTGTAACATCCGGATTCCCAGGTATCTTATTTTAAGTATTTTATATTGAATTTTAGAGAGGGACTCGGCGAGTAGGCGTCCAGACTCACCGCGTGGGATCGCGCATGTATTGGTCTGATTTAATGAAGGACTCGGCGAGTCCATGCGTGGACTCGGCGAGTCCACGCTGTTTAATGAAACCCTAATTTCTCGGGTTTGGGACCTATTTAAGGACCCTTATAGCCACCATTTGCGGCTACCAGACCCTTGAGAGAAACCCTAATAGTGCTGGAGCGTTTGTGGGAGAGAAGAAGCCATTATTGGACCTTTGTGGGTTGGTTTTGCAAGAAGAAGTTGTTTCCAGCTTAGAGGAGGCCAAGGAGATTGCACATCTGTGGTTTTCAAGCAAAGGGCATCATCCTTGAGGTAGTATATCAATCCCCTTTCTGTTTTGTTAAAGAATCCATGGATCTAGGGTTTTCTATACCCTTTATTGGGATGATTTGTTGGGAATATGGTCCCTTATCATGTTTGGATATCAGATCTGGATCCATAGTGGTCCAGAGAACTTATTCCATCTTGCTTTATGAGGAGTTATGGAAGAAATGGACTTAGGATGTTGTATTTTGGGGCTAAATCATCAAGTAGAGTCATTTGGACGTTGCATGAGTATCAAGTTCGAACCTTTACGTGTTTAATGAGCTTGGGAAGGTTAGATCTATGGATTAGAGGAACAGATCTGACCTCAGAAGGTCGTTTGAGTGTGAGCATGGAATGAACTCGCCGAGTCCATGAGCGGACTCGACGAGTCGAGTCGGATTGCCCCGCGACTCGCGACCTGTGACGACCCGTAGAGTATAGGGTTGATTCAGCGAGTCAAGAGAGGACCAGGGGCGAAGAGAGCAGGCGTGTACTCGCCGAGTCACCCTAGTGCACTCGGCGAGTCGGGTTAAAGTTGACCGTTAACTTTCGTTGACTTTAGGGTTCTGGTCAAGACTGATTCAGGAGAGTTCAGGGAAGGGTAGAATGGCCTTCTACCCAATCTGTAGAGAGGAGATCATGAGAAAGTATTGATCGGGTATGTTATTTGAATAATAAGAGGAGGCTAGGTCGGGACGTTGAGCACGAGAGTTTATCCGACTTCATTGAGGTGAGTCTTCTCACTATACTGTACCTGGAAGGGTACCTATGTGTGACCAGAAGGTCTTGTATGTTATGATGTATGTGCTATATGCGGTTATGTGATATGTATGTGTTATGTATGCTATGAATGATAAGGACCGGAAGGTCAAGATGATATGTATGTATGTGCTATGTATGTTACGTATGGTAAGTACCGGAAGGTCGAGATGATATGGACCGGAAGGTCAAGAGGTTACGGACCGGAAGGTCTACCGGGATTTGGGACGGAAGTCCCCTGAGACACATGTATCGGAAGATCCTACAGGGTTATGGCCTGGAAAGGCGTATGTGAGGTATGTGGTATTTTGGGGAACTCACTAAGCTTTTATGCTTACAGTTGTTGTGTGATGTGTTTCAGGTACTAGCGAGGACCGTGGGAAGGCGCCGACGTGATTCGTACACACTGAGAGGATTTATGTAATTAGAGATCTTGGGATTTGTTATTATGATATCATGTGATACATTGGATTACTCTGATATTTTATGAATGAAAGTATGTTTTTAAAATGAAAAATTGTTTTGAAAAATTACATTGTTACAACATGGCTGTTAACTTTTGGCAAATGACGGATTTACCCCTGGGATCATTTCTGCAGTTTTATCTTTTTACCAAACTACAAGGACCAATTATGCAATTTTTCTTTTTCATTTTATTGAATTATTATATATTAATTATTTTAATTACTTTTTTTTTAACTTTTTTCTTATTGTATTATTTTTTTATTGGATTATTTAATATTAATAAATATTATTTTTAATATTTTATATTTATATATTAATAAATATTACTTTTTTATTATTAATTTTTTTAATTATTTTTTTTGAATTTCTTCTTTATTGCATTATTCTTTTTTATTGGATTATTATATATTAATAAATATTATTTTTAACATATAAAATTTATCTGTTAGTAAGTGTTACTTTTTTGGATTATTAAATTCATTTAATTATTTTTTTTTAATTTTTTTATTTCGTTAATTCTTTTGATTGAATTATTATATATTATTAAAATTTATTTTTAATATATTATATTTATATATTAATAAATATTACTTTTTTGATTATTATTTTTTTAATTGATTTTTTTAATTTCTTCTTTATTGTATTAATTCTTTTTTATTGGATTACTATATATTAACAAATATTATTTTTAGCATATAATATTTATCCATTGGTAAGTGTTACTTTATTAGATTGTTAATTTCATTTAACTTTTTTAATTTTTTTATTGCATTAGTTCTTTTTATTGGATTATTAATTTAAATTTATTATTTTAATTTATAATAAATAATATTTATTTAATTGTTTTTATTTTATTTTAATTTCTTTCTTTGTTGTTATAAATAAAAATACCAAACACTCCGGGTCAGCTCCTCCATTCGTTGCATTTTACCACCTTGCGTCGTCGTATCATCTCGCTGGAAATCATCGATCATCGACTACAGTCGACCATTCTCGACAAAAACTACACCAGTTGACTACCCACAATGTGAAATAAACCTCAGAAAGCATACTTCCTCCAGCCGACCATTCATTACATATACCACCATCGATGACGACAATGTTAGATCGAGGGTTTTCAAACCACCATAGCCACTACAGGTGGTGAAAAAGTTGTAGAACTCGTTATTCGGTACTCGTTCGGCTGACCGCCGAGTAGCGAATACTCAGATTTGGTAATTCATGTAGAAATATTTTTAGTGTCAAAATCATAAGTTAAAATCATAAGTTTATTGAAATATATAATAAATTTAGATATATGTGAATACACAAAAACTAAAATACACACGATGATCTCATTTCGTGAATAATTACTGATCTTATATATTTATATATATAGTAACAGGGTTGGAGACGACCCGATAGTGGTTTGTTGTGACTGAGTGATAGTGGTGGTGTTGTCCAAAATATGTTATGTTCCAAATATTTAAAATAAATTAGAGAATGTGGGGTGGGTGAGATTTTTTGGTATTTTTATTTAAAACAATAAAGAAAGAAATTAAAATAAAATAAAAACAAATAAATAAATATTATTTATTATAAATAAAATATTAAATTTAAATTAAATATTCCAATAAAAAGAACTAATGCAATAAAAGAATTAAAAAATAATATAATGAAATTAATAATCCAATAGAGTAACACTTACTAATAGATAAATACTATATATGCTAAAAATGATATTTGTTAATATATAATAATCGAATAATAAAGAATTAATACAATAAAGAAGAAATTAAAAAAAATCATTTAAAAAAATAATAATAAAAAAGTAATATTTATTAATATATAAATATAATATATTAAAAATAAAATTTATTAATATATAATAATCCAATCAAAAGAATTAACGAAATAAAAAAATTAAAAAAAATTAATTAAATGAATTTAATAATCCAAAAAAGTAAGACTTACTAATAGATAAATATTATATGTTAAAAATAATATTTATTAATATATAATAATCCAATAAAAAAGAATTAATGCAATAAAGAAGAAATTCAAAAAAAAATTAATTAAATAAATTAATAATAAAAAAAAGTAATATTTATTAATATATAAATATTAAATATTAAAAATAATATTTATTAATATATAATAATCCAATAAAAAAATAATACAATAAGAAAAAAGTTATTAAAATAATTAATATATAATCAATAAAATAAAAAAGAAAAATTGCATAATTGATCATTGTTTGGTAAAAAGATAAAACTGCAGAAATGGTCCAAGGGGTAAATCCGTCATTTGCCAAAAGTTAACAGCTATGCTGTTAAATTTAACGAGGTTGGGACCAAAACTGCAACAAAACCATCAAATAGGATCTTTTTTGCTAATAAACTTTTTTTTGGACCTTACCCACATCATTTTTTAAATTTTGTCTTTAAAAAAGGTAGAAAAATGTTACTTTTCATATTCGTCCTCGCTATTTTAAATTTGCCACATGAACGATACAACCAATTGAACCAAATCATGTCTCCATTTCCCCGGCGGCGGCGAAAAGTCTCCGAGGGATGTATAAAACTCAACCAAATCCCCAACTAACTTATACGCCTTCTCCTCCTCCATCAAACCCCCAGTCAACCATCATAACTCGCACACGGAGTCACACAAGGGAGGCAGGGCGAATGAAAAGTGATTTAAAGTTCATCGCCGTCGTGTTCGTTATCGTCGGGGTTTTGGATAGAACCTCCGTCGTCAATGGCGGTCAGTTCAAGGGAGATTACTCCAAGTTATCGGGGATTATAATACCAGGTTTTGCGTCTACTCAGCTCAGAGCCTGGTCTATTTTGGATTGCCCTTACTCTCCTCTAGATTTCAATCCACTCGATTTGGTTTGGCTCGACACGACCAAAGTATATTTTCCTACAATCTGAGATTTTTTCATTTAACCCATCAAAAATTTCTATATCATGTGTTTACTTTTATCCTGTTGATGATTAAGCAACCGTGACGTGTGATTGCCTATGAATTTATAATTATTAGTTTATGAAGGATAACGTATTTGCATATTAGCACTGTTGAATTGATATGCTTCTAACTTAACATTGTTTTTATTCCGATTGTGTTAAGTTATTGATTTTTCTAGTAGATTATACATGATGCTCCATGCTCCCTTAAACTATTTTGGGATTTGGAATTCAAATGGAATAGTTTATAATTTGAACATGTATGGATTTTAAGGGGTTAGGAAAAACATGTTAATGATAAGTGCATAAAGTTAGGGATAAGCATCTCCAAATCTAAATTTTTTGACCCCAAATAATCACAAAATCATAATCATAATCACTTTTTGTCAAACACTTTAAACTGATTATTGGTACTTGAAATCACAATAATTAGTTTAAACACAGGTGAAATGTATTAGCTTTGACCTGGAAAACCAAAGTGTGACTCCTTTTTGAAACATATAAGTGATGATCCTAGAGATATCCTATATGATGAGCATATATTCTTAGGAAAAAGATATGGTAGATTATAACTTATAACCAGATTGTGCAACAACTTGATAAGACATATTGCCACATTGGATGTTATATCCAAATAAAATGTGATTCATTTCTTGATATATGCTATAGTAGAAGTAATGCTACATTTCTCATTTTCTATCCAATACTGTCTGGTGGATGATAGAAGAAGGCTACAATCTACCATGCAGTGTCTTTCTGCAATGAATTGCTGGCTTAAATGCATGATGCTTGATCCTTACAATCAAACAGATCACCCAGAGTGTAAGTCACGCCCAGATAGTGGCCTTTCAGCTATCACAGAACTTGACCCAGGTTATATAACAGGTAACATTTTTTTTTTTCATTTCTCCATCCTTATATACATAAACACACACTTATATGTAAGTTGTAACATATAGTCCCTGAATGTGAATTGTTGATTATCAGGTCCTCTTTCATCAGTATGGAAAGAATGGATCAAATGGTGCATTGAATTTGGGATTGAGGCAAATGCTATTCTTGCTGTTCCATATGATTGGAGATTGTCACCATCAAAGCTTGAAGAACGGGATTTGTACTTCCACAAGCTAAAGTTTGTATTCAGTTTATATATATATATATATATATATATATATATATATATATATATATATATATATATATATATATATATATATATATCTTTCAATCATGATCCAAATTATAATAATTTTGACACCCATAATTTTTTTTTTTTTTAAAATTTCTTTGCAGACTTACTTTTGAAACAGCTTTGAAACATCGTGGTGGGCCCTCCATAGTCTTTGCCCACTCTTTGGGCAACAATGTTTTTCGTTATTTTTTGGAGTGGTTGAAGCTAGAAATTGCCCCTAAAAAATATATCCAATGGCTAGATGATCACATTCATGCCTATTTTGCTGTGGGTATGTCACATCAACATGTCATTCTGGCCACGAACTTTAAGGGGCAATTTAGACATTTACGCTTTCTAATTCTTACTTTCAGGGTCTCCACTTCTTGGGTCAGTTCAAACAGTAGAAGCAACACTCTCTGGATCCACATTTGGTCTTCCTGTACCCGAGGTTTGTTCTTCAAGTATTTGTTTTTCTTTCCTTTTTATGTTTTTTGGCTTATCTTATTAATGTCAATTTATTATCAGGGGACAGCACGATTGATGTTCAATTCATTTGGTTCTTCACTATGGATGACACCTTTTTCAGAGTATTGTCAAAGTGAAAATGTCTACTCGAAGCATTTTTCCACTGGGCGCAAAAAGAAACACAATATATACCACTGTGATGATCTTGAATATCGGTTAAACTATTCTGGATTTCCAACTAACATAATCAACATTGAAATCCCTTCAGTTGTAGGTATGTTATGAAATATGAATGTTTTTATGAAGAAAAAAAAAGTGGTTTCTGTTAACTATATTAATGGGCTTCATTCTTCAACATTGTAGCAGAAGCTTATCCATCTTTTGGAGATGAGTTACAAGCCAATTTATCTAACATGGAATGTGGGGTCCCTACTCAGTTATCATTTAATGCTCGGGAAATAGCAGATGGGACATTTTTTAAAGCAATTGAGGATTATGATCCTGATAGCAAAAGGCTTCTCTACCAATTAGACAAGTGAGTAATGCAAATAACAATGTACTTTATATTATTTTTCTACCAATAATAGCAACATAGAAAATATAAATTACAATAATGGTTGTTATAAGTATAAAATGTAGTAAAGTCTTGCATAATTTTTTGGTCAGGGTATTTGTTTAAGATGTTTTTTGTGGTATGCAGGTTGTATCATGGTGATCCAGTATTAAATCCTTTGACACCATGGGAGAGACCACCTTTGAAGAACATATTTTGTATATATGGAGTAGATTCAAGAACTGAAGTTGGTTACTATTTTGCACCAAGTGGAAAACCTTACCCTGACAACTGGATTATGACTGATGTTGTATATGAATTTGAGGGAATTTTGTTTACCAGGTATAATAACTACTTTCTTTACCATATGATTGAAATTGATGATCATGCACCATTTCAAAATTTTCAGATTTTAATTCCATTATTCAACTTCTGGTATTTTGGTTTATTTCTTTTTTGATATAGGTCTGGAAATTTAATTGAAGGAAATCCCGGGGCTGCAAGTGGTGATGAAACGGTAACCGAAAATAATTATAAGAAAATTACGGAAAAACCATTATATTTTGGTCAATTTTGCGGTTAAACCACTTATACTTTATTATATTTTTTCCAATTAAACCATAAAAGTTTCTGACATCTTTCCAAATTAACCATTTCATCGGAGGTTAAAATGGTTAATTTGGAAACTTTTATGGTTTAATTAGAAAAGATCATGTATTAATGGTTAAACCAATATTTTTATGTTAAAAATATAAAACATTGAATCAAGAAATGTATTGGTTATAGGTACCATATAATTCTCTTTCATATTGCAAGAATTGGCTGGGACCAAAAGTCAATATAACAAGAACACCTCAGGTATGTGAAAGCCCTAATGGCATCATAATATCATACATTAAAAAAAAGTTAAATTAAATTGAATTATTTATTTATTATTTTAGTCAGAGCATGATGGGGAGGATGTGCAAGTGCATACGGATGTAGAACACCAAATAGGGGCTGATATAATCCCCAACATGACAAGGTCATCTCGTGTTAAGTACATTACCTATTATGAAGACTCTGAAAGCCTTCCTGGACAAAGGACAGCTGTTTGGGAAATCGATAAAGGTATCTTTTTTTAAAAATTTTTAGGGTTTAGGGCTTTGAATTTGAGTGTTTATTTGCAGCAAATCATAGGAACATTGTGAGATCACCAATTTTGATGCGGGAGCTATGGCTTGAGATGTGGCATGATATTCATCCGGATAAGAAATCCAAATTTGTTACCAAGGGTTAGTTTGGTTTTCCCTCCCTTTTCTTTTTTTGAAGAGATGTCAAAGTTAATAAATTTTTTTTTTAAAAAATTAAATTGTGGGGGTTTTTTTTTACAGCTAAGCGTGGACCTTTGAGGGATGAAGACTGTTATTGGGATTATGGAAAAGCTCGTTGCGCGTGGGCCGAGTATTGTGAATACAGGTAAATCCACTCCTTATCTGTTACACATGACAATAGGACAATCTATAGTGCAATAGCCCTAACAAAAAAAAAAAAAAAAAAAAAAAAACTTAGAATGAATTTGGTCCATATGTTGGCAGTTTACATATGTAAAAATAATGACGCAGATATGTTTTTGGAGATGTTCATTTGGGTCAAAGTTGCAGGGTCAAAAGCTCTTCAGCCGATCTCCTTCTCAAATATGTATAACCACAACCACAGCCATGAGAGGTAGTTTCCTTTCCTTAAAAGCTTCTATACAGCCTGTTTGATTTCTTTATTTTGACAAACAGAAAATGCTGATTGATGCAGGATTGGTCAATGATGGTGGAAATGGGATTTAAATGCCATTGATGTGCCAATTGCCATACATCATACATACCATAGATGGCAAACTAGAGGGAAGGCATATTTTTTTGAAGCATTTGACAGAAATTAGTGATTGAAATATGTAGAGATGTATCATTCATCATGTTCAACAATACACATAAGGCCATGGTCATCCAAAATTATAAAAAAAAAAAAAAAAACAAAAAACATTATTCTCTCAAATGCCACAGAAAAAAATCAAATCCATAACGATGTACAACTTCCACTTAATACAGTACAAGTTGAATAGCTCCCACTCAGAGCAAAAGATTTTTAACAATAATTAAACTAAAAGCTCGCCAAACATCTTTAAAATTCAATAACAAAAAATGTCTAAAAGGGTAGTAAAATGAGAATAAATAAATGACTTTAAACTTGAACAATTAATTCAATATGGCATATGAACTAGCTTTTCTTCTTGATCTCAAAAGAATAATCAAGCTCCAAATGACACCTCTTATCATCATCTTCAAACTGAATCACCAAACAAACTTACAAATTATACTTCATATTTCGTCAATTTTGATGGGACCCGCACAAACAAGAACTAACTTACCCTCAGCTTTGCTGTGTATATTCCTCTTGCAAGTATGCCAGATGGCGTGGTCTCCTCCTCTAAGGTTTCCACGTAAGCATCTTTCTGAGGTGCAAATGTACCCAACATTCCTTTGATTCGATCCACTGACACCAAAGACAATAAAAAAAAGGTCGATCACTTTGTGGATATGGTTTGACATTTAAAGTCAAACAAGAATCTTTTCATGCTTTATAAGGGGTTGTTTGGAATGCCTCTTACTGGGTTTGGTAAGAGGCTGGGCTGACTCGGTCAGATTCAGACTGTTTTACTTGGTCATGGTTGAGTCTCACTTAGTCCGACATTGGCTCAATTAGATCCGACTAAACCAACAACTCTCAAACTGCCCTTTGCATGACTTCTATAAGCTATTCAAAGGAATTTTCAAATGAAATTGAACTGGATACCGAGTTTTACAACCCCGAAAAACTTGGCTTTAAGTTTGTACAGAAGTTGATATTTTTTATGCTCTTGGAAAGTATTGTGTTTGAATTCAAACGTCAAAGTGAGTATATTATAAAAGAAAAAAAGTTACCTTGGATTCCTGATTTCCACACTGTATTGGTGTAGGTGAGACCAGAAACAATGTTGTGAAGAATAGTGAATGTTAGCTTAAGCCGATATTGAACTCCTTCTTTAAGTGTAAAAAGGGGACGACCACTTTGACTTTCTTTGACCGGTAATGAAGTAGTGATCTCCCCAACGTCTTTTGATACGATTCCTATGGAGTGGAATTTAACTTCGGGATCCTTTTGACCTAACAAAAGTATAATAATGTCTTAATCACTACATAACATAGTTAAGAGGCTAAACTTGATAAATTAATTGTATGTGAAAATTATCATAACAATTAAATAAGACTAACCATACAATTCACTTTCGACTCCACCAAGCAACTTCTCTTTCCACCTCCTTAAACTTTCATCATCCTGTAAATCCAAAAGACTGTTTTACACCCTTTTGAAACATATAACATATTCCAGCAAACATATCCAGGAAAAGACGATTTTACCCTTCTGAAAGGTGGCATATACTATTCAACACAAAGGATCTTGGACATACCAAATTTCTATGACTACATTATTGGATATAATAGGGGAACCCTAAATTGAAATTGCGTGAATTTCTATATTGTGCTAGTGATAATAGAGAAACTAAAGAAACAGAGCAAGATCTCAACTTTATTAATTCCAAATTTGAATTATAATACGAAACAAAATAAGATAGTCAATCCGGAAATGAACAACTCCCACTAATTATCAAAAGCGGCAAGACAAAATCGAAAGAAACCCTAGAAGTGCACTAGGGCCCATTAAGGACCTTTCTTTTAGAACCCCAAAATTTGAAATTGTGTAACTTTTTACAGTCAATTTGATATAGGACACTGGGATTCTGCAAATTGTACACATTCACTCATGTTTTCAGCTATTCTTGAAAATAAAGCTTAAAATGCAAGAATCACATAGATACCCCAAGATGCAAAGCAAAAAATTTAAAAAATAAAAATTTACATGTTAATTTGATATTTATCTGCAAATCTTAAATTGCAACAGAGCATACGCTACGACTTTACAAACCCTAGATTGAAACAGAACATACCATATTTTAAAAGTAACTGAGGATTATATAAGAGTAAATATGAGACATAAAACATTTAAAATTTCTACAAATAAAGTAAAAAAGAAACCTTGTCCTTGTCAAGCTGGTCCTTAAGAGGAAGAAGAGGGCCAGGAACAAATTTGGAGACACCCACTTGATGATGTTCATGTTCTTCTTCATCATCATCATCATGTTCATGTTCATGTTCAAAAACCCTAACATTTAAGGGGTTTTCTGCAAATTCTCCTGTTTGTTTGTTCTTCAAATCTCCATTAACATCATCAAGAAGTGAACATGAGGTAGACCCAGATGATGTTCCTGCTTCTGCTCCCTTCACACCTTCCATCCCTGTTCTTTTTCTGCAGACAAGATGAGAACAAGAAAAGAACCCTTCTTCTAAAGAAATCAAATCAACACCCTTTCTCCTTTATTTCCTTTTTCGGATTTTGATATAGACAGTAGTCACATTATCACTAGCACATATATTTGTTTGAATGTCTTTGTTTAGCATCAAAATAAGCGTAGGTCGTTTGACTATATACGACTTTTTATCCTTATAAAATTGAATTTGATTATAGTTTATTTACATTATTAGGTCTCAGACCCGTATAAAATACGAGTTTTAAAAATAATAATAATATATTTTATTAAGTATTACATGTTTAATAATTTATAAAACTGAATGTAGAAAAAAAAATATCAATATTAAATGTGAATGAATCAATTTCTGCAAGGTTTCTGCCAATTATCATGAATTCAAAAGGGATTGGCCAAAAATTATGTTTTTCAATTAAAAAGTTTGATTTGAATTTAAATTGAATTTAATATATTAATTGACAAATTACGTGAGAATTTATGGAGACATTTAAATTTCCTTATTTTTTTATTATATTTTTAGATTAGATTCTTTTATAATTTAATAAAAAGCCAAAAACACCACAATTTGTCAAGTGGATTTAAATGAATTTGAAAAAAATAAAAAAATGTCATGTGGCATATTGAATTAGATGATGACATGTGTCAAAAAACATTCATTTATTAGGTACTAGGTGTAAGACTCATGTATTACATGAGTTCATTTTAAAGAAAAAAAAATATGAAATTCTAAATATTTGAAAAGTTTGAATTTATAAGAAAAAATAGAAAAATATTGAATTATAAAAATTAAATTGTTTGTTTTTCTTTTAAATTAAACAAATAATTTAGATAAATAAACAAAGAAAACTAATGAGACTTTAATTTAGAAGTTTGAAAATTAGAAAGAAGTTAATTAATGAAATTGATATCCATTTATTATTATATTTATTGTAATTATTACATTTAAATATTATGTGGAAATTAATAAAATGAAAAAAGCCACAAAATGTCATGTGGAAAAAATTAATTGAAAATAACCACAAAATGACATGTAACCAAATCAATGAGAATATGACATGTGACAAAAGATTTTGATTTATCAGAGTAGATGATTTAACTTAATTTTTTTATAAAAATAAAAAGCTAGAGACTACAATCAATATTAAAATTACATTTCATATAATCTACTAAGATTACAATTTGTTAGTTTTTGATAAAAATTAAAAGGTCATCCCTAAAATATCAATGATATTTGTTATTATCATTATAAATGATTTAATAATATTTGTTCGATTTGGTTTTTCTTCAATAGAAAGTTTTTTCTTCTCTCTATGTATATTAATTATTGTACGTGAGGGATTTTTTTTTTCCAACACGTTAAGACTAAGGTCTTACATATAAGATATAACATATTGGGTATGAGGTGTTTAGGATAGTTTATATAAAAAGTTTACTAGCTTTTACAACTTGGTACCACAAATATATTACTAATTTGAATGTTAAATAAAATTATAATATTATAATATTTACATGTAATATTATATTAATAAAATTATACAACTAAATTATAATATTACAATCCTAGTTAAACATTGTCGTTGCACAGTGAGAACACAAGAATTGTTCATGCATTAGTTGATAAAAAATTGAATGATAACGTTTTCAAAGCAAACTATGTCAACCATTCATAGCACACCTTTTAATGTAATAAAAGAATATTAATAACAAAAAATGCATTAATATGATAAATTTATGATTAATTATATAAATAGATGAACATAAATATTAATAATAATAATAATTGGTTATTTTTTTATTTTAATATTAATTTAATCTTTTTAGTTTATTTTTTTATCACAACTTTTATTATGTAATACTTGGTATAAATTTATCATTGAAATCGAGATCCTCTTATTTTATCGTCATAATAATGTAAATTTGTCTACTATGAACTATTTGTTCGAATTACATGATACTTGAAATAAATCCAAATATACCATTGAGACCGTCTTAATATTATCTATATAAGGATAATAATTTGTCTCAATCCGACATAGTGACATATTTTTTATTTCAAAATCCGTTTTTCTTTATATCGTTATAAAGTATGTTTTTCGTATATCAACTGTTGAAATAAGCACGATTATTCGAATCTATATGATTTAATAAACTATATTTCATTTTCAGTTGAATGATACCTTGGATAATGTCTGGTTTCGAAACTAATTACACTATTGTATGACTTGTATATGTTCAATTTTAACCAAATGTGTTAGAAAAAACTAATTTTAATCAAATTTTATTTTAACAAAGACATGATTTTCCCGGTATGCTTATAAACATTGACTGCACACACTAAAAATGGAGAAATTGTCCAACAGTGTGGAAATGACGGTATGCAAGTGGTCATCGTGAAACACCTTCGTTGGTATTAGAGGCTGTTCTTTCCCAAGATTTATGGATTTGACATGCTTTTTTCGGGGTTGCGAGTTCCAACAACGACGTCAACGTTCTTGATCAGCCACCAATATTTAGCGATCTTTTGGCATGAAAGGCACAAAATGCTCATTTCATAGCGAATGAAAACGAATTACAGTTTGGGTATTATCTTACGAATGAAATATATCTTGCGTATTCCACGTTTGTAAAGACATTCTGACACCCAATGGAATCAAAAGAAAAATTATCCAAGAAAAGACAAAAATCTTCATGTAAGGATGTGAAATGTGCATTTGGAGTTCTAAAGGCGAAGTGACACATAGTAGAACTTGCGACACAACCATTTGAGTTAGAGACCCCATGATATATTATGTATGCATGTATCATAATGCATAACATGACGGTAGAAGAAAAAATGACGAAATATGCACACTATATCCCAACGAAGCCCAAACACATTCAATTTGAACCAAAAACATCACAATATTTGCATAGAGTCGTTGATATTTAATATGCACATACAACTTCGAGAAGATTTGATAGATTATATCTACGATGATAAGGATGATGATGAATAGTGGGTTTAGGGAAAAAAATTATGTATTTTTTTTGTCTTGTAATGTCTTTTTTTAATTTAAATATTATGTTTAATTTAAATATTATGTTTTATAAAACTATATGTATTTTTATAAACATTAAAAAACTCAAAAATAAAAATAAAGATAAAATGAAGACTTGGAAATTAATTGGTATTATAACATGATGACAATTTCTTATAATTATGTTATAATATCATTGATGATGTGACATGTAAGATGATATATTTTATTTTTGTTATCATTGATGATATGACATGTAAGATGATATATTTTATTTTTGTTATCACATGTTGTACATATTCACTAGTCTTATAAACTTATAACAAGCTATTGATTTTGAAAATATATTTCTTAAAATATGATTGACCAAAAATATGTTCATTTTACTTGTAATATGCTCTTATTAGAACCATCGATCGATATGATATGTAAATTGATACATGTTATACGACTAATTTAAAATAACTTTTTAAACCCGTTAAATATATGAAATATCTTTTATAATAAATGGAAGTCTCATATTTTTAATCTTCCAAAACAAATATATGGAAACATATATTGTTTAAAAATAACACACGGAGAAAGTCATATGAATAAGAAAATTTTATCCCTATGCCTTTATTTGTACTCAGACAATTTTATCCCTATGCATTTATTTGTACTCACTTTTTTTAGGGTAAATTACATTATACATCGTGCATGTGTCAAAACACACATTTGGACCTTATTTTCAAAGTTTGGTCTTTATTTTCAAAAATTAATTTGGATATTCTCTTATATCGTAAAAAGATGCACGATTCGTCTCTATAAAGATAAAATGACTATATTGCCCATTTTTATTTATTTTCATTTAATTTTCAGGTTTATTCATCAATTTTTAGATTAAAAAAACAAATACCATCATCCACACCCCAACCCACTCCTCCCCTTTCTCTTTCTGTCACACTCCCAAACCGGAACGTTGGAAACGTTCGAGGGCGGATGACGTCATGTATGGTATCTGTAACGTCCCAAAAATCATGTCCAAAAATTTCATTTTAAAACCATAATAAGACCATAGTTGTCAAACCATTCATTCAAAACATATTTAATCAGAGTATCATGTCTAAACATATCATATAAGAGTAAAACATCCCAGGCTAAAAAAACCAATGATGTGTGCCATGCGATCATCCCGAGCTCTTCCCTCCACTACCGGAAGTACCTGAAACCAAAACTGCAAACCGTAAGCACAAGGCTTAGTGAGTTCCCCAACCTACCACATACCACATACGCATAACCACATACTGGGACCCCGCTCGGTATACAAATTTGTCTCTCTTAGGCCCCGTCTGTCTCTGGGCCTCGCCCGCTATACACATACAATAATATAAACATGCTAACACATAAGCAAACATACTCTACTGTATTCTTATCCTAAGGCCTCGCCTAACTTGGGCCTTGCCCATGTCCTGGTACTGATGAGTCATGGAACCCCGTACACACTCCTGCTGATAGTGAGATACGGGCCCCCGCCCATACTCACTTCTCTCCTATCTCGGGCCCCGCCCCTACTCTTCTACTAATGAGATACGCAACCCCGTCCATACTCAACTAGTGCTGAGATGCAGGACATCGCCCACACCCACCTTCCTACCAGGCACATACAAGTATCACATAGACAACAAGTATAGCTAACATACTAACATTTCTCGGGCTTGCCCCGACATCGGACCTTGGTCCGGAATAACATACATAGAAACTTTCCTCGGGCCTCGCCCGACATCGGACCGTGGTCCGGAAACATACTATCATACAATGCCTAGGGCTAACCCCCGGGTCTTCCTACCATACGTAAACTAAATGGGTCGACATTGTGGCCGTAGATACTCGGGTCCCGCCCCTACTCTGCTACTAATGAGATACGGAACCCCGTCCATACTCAACTAGTGCTGAGATGCGGGACATCGCCCACACTCACCTCCCTACCAGGCACATACAAGTATCACACAGACAACAAGTATAACTAACATACTAACATTTCTCGGGCTTGGCCCGACATCGAACCCATGCACACAGTGAGGAGACTCACCTCGTACTGCTGAACCCTGCTGAAAACTCCTCTGGCTGCTAAC